GGCCTTATACCATTTGAAGCATTTGAAATATTTGAATGAGCTCTGCGTTTAATGGCAATATGTGTGGAATTTTTGATTGTATTCAAAAATCTTGTTTGATCCGTGGTTTAAGCTTGTTGAGCAGTTCATTGGTGGCATCAGAACAGAACAGTTGAATGTGATCTTTCAGAGAAAGTCACTGCAATTGTGCGATCGTTCAGTGCAAATTGGAAGAAATCAATTGACGCTATCAATAAGCAAATTCTTGAATCTTTTACAAACTTCAAGAATGGCACTAATATTTTGCAGGTTCATTTCTCAAATTTTCTCTGCTTTTTTTTCCAATTCAAACTTTTGTTTATTTGGTTTCTGAATATTTGATTAACTATGAAATGAACGCTTCATAACTGATTTTCTTTCGAATGTTTGAGCACTGGACTAAATTTCTCAAATATAATTAACTTGAAATACATCCGAAATATTCTTGGGATCACATATACGGTGCATTTATGAATGAACCGAAAATTGTTGATTCTAAGTTATTTTGATAATCGAGAATTTATTTACATATAACCTTATGTGATCGAACTAGTAAATGGGTGATTAATGTGGTGGAATAGATTAGGAAGTTGTTTGTTGCAGGCCGCATTCACACAACTCGTCCAATACTATCACCGATTCAGCAAAGTGCTATCGCATCAAGTGTTTGCCGATAACGCGGTTCTGAAAGAACTCGTCAATATTCATCACATTATGGTCGAACTGAAGAAATATAAACCTGTCTATTGATAAGATTATTGAATCTGTCGCATTCTATCTCTTCGAAGGCTTTCTGGTCATTAATTTTCTGTCAACGCAGCATAAAATGAATTAAGCCAATTAATTTTTTATTGTTTTGATCTTGATGTTTTGATGCTTTCGTTTGGTTGTTTATTGTTATTACAGTAAATTGGAGGATTACGAGGAGGGAGGGTAGTCAAATTTCATGGACTGTGTTTACGTTATTCCATTTCAAAGGTTGTTGTGTATTTTAAAGCAGGCGTATGATATTTAAAGCAGTTATTTTTGTGTGTAATTGTATTAATATTGTATAAGATTTAACTTGTGATATTTTTTGTGGTGTATTAGTAAAATGATGTTTTGTAATGTTTTTGTTTTTCGAAATAAATTATTCATTTGGTCAATTTTACAATCGTACTGTACAGATCGGAGAGCATGGAAGTTCCGCCGAGATGAGCAAAGTCGCTTTCATGGTTGTTTCGAAGTAGCGAAGTTATGTTCCAATCTGTTTTGATTTTCACAAGGCTGTAATTGGATTGTACGATTGCAACACTGAGAACGTTAATAAAGCAACTGTGTCAAAAAAAGCCGTTAAGGTTTGTTGTTTAACGAGGTAATTAAATGATAATTCTCTCGCGAAAACTGCTTCAGAAAAATGATCTGTTGTAATTGTGAATGGGCAAATGTAGCGTTGAGCGAGGAATCGCCTGGTGCAACATTTTATAACTATTATAATATTCAAAAGTGAAAAATGTCCAATGCACGATGAGAGCACTTTCAAAAGCCAACTAAAACGTATTAATGTAAAGTTCAAGAACAAAAACATTACAAAACATCATTTTACTNTAATTCAAATAAAAGGTTAATCGGAATGTCAAACTCAAGGACACTTGAGAAATGTTTTGGGAGGTGAAAAACATAGTGAAATGAAAATCATCTGATTCATTTCGTGAACGAATTTGTATCATGCAAGTAAACAAATGATGTTTTATGTTTGAATTCGAAACAGTTTGTGAAATTGAACGCAGAGAAATTCCAAATTGGAATGAGTTTAAGTCTGTGAAGGTCATACATTTATTTATTTGGAAATTATTTTCGTTTTCGGAGCACTGATGAATGAAATTCAGAAAATCGCTCAACAGATGAAAAACAAATAAGCACTGCCCAATAACTCATCGAACTTTCACTATTACTAAACTGAAAACCAGTTTTGAACAGTCATCCACTCATTCTTCACTCTTATGTACATTCAGACAGGCGATTTTTAGTCGAATCGCTTGAAAACGGAAGCTGATATGAACTCGAGCAAAAGAAGGGGTCTTTGAAATGATTGGAAACGGTCAGTTTTAGGACGAGGACATCAGCAATTTATCACTGATTCTTGTGATCACTGACAATTTGATCAATTTTCTGTTCCATCCCAAACCACTGATGATTTAGGATGGAAGAGAACATTGATTTTTNATTTTTTTTCACTCGTACTCTAAGGAATGAAAGAATCACTCGTGGTGCGTTCATGATTACGATGGAATTGCTCGAGATTCTCTGATGCTGTTGGGTGGAACAGTCGGAAGACTGGCAGGGAGATAGGTACATTTCATACCTTCAGAATCCGCTGAAGGACTTATTTATCTGGCATATCTTCTAAATCAGTTTCAGAAGTTGTGTTCCACATGATTCTGCGAGAAATGAAAAGGTCTATTACTCATGGAATGATGATTTATACTTGTGTATTCATTGTAATATAAGCATGATCTATGTAACCATAATATTCGCTTTTGATGATTCATTCGCAACTAATTCAAATTTCCAGAGCATTGTTGCGAACAAGAATTCGAAAGTAATGTAAACGAATTGCAGATTGTAAATGAAATGAATAAATATTTCACAAAAACTGACGAATGCATTTTGACAAACTAATTTTGCGAGTGTAATAATTCAAGTAAACTAAAGCTACTGATGTGATACAAAGTGAACAACAAAAAATAAATAAAAGAGGTGTGACTGCAAAACAACTGCAGTTTTGATATGTTGAAGTGATACGGGCTGAATGATTTTGTTGTAAACTTCTCAACAAGTTACCACTGACAATAAATTGTTTCATCTCAAAATGCTTTTAAAAGGCACTCATAAACAAAATACGATCATTGTTCCGAAAAACTGTTCCAGCCACTCACTCGCCTTCTCTCAGCATGATGATGCTTGTCCGTGAGGCGAAAGTTCTGATCGCTATCGCTACAGTATGCAGTTGTTCAGCAATGCTTGTGTGCTTAACTGTGGTGACAATGCTGTACGGTGAGATCGACGTAATGCAAGCAGAAGTATTCGATAATGTGCAAATATTCCGAGTGGACACCGATGCGGCATGGAGTGAAATTATGCAACTGAGAATATTCGCGATTCCACCGTCAAAAGCTCGCGAGAATCCCTTCAAAAGTATATTCAGAAGGCGAAAGCGACAAGATTTCTCGAGTCTTCCAGATTTTTGTCATTGTGAGCCACTGAAAGTCACCTGCCCACCGGGACCACCAGGACCAGCCGGCGATCCTGGACCAGATGGACGTAAGTGAATAAGTTTTGTGCAGTGTTTTGATCTGACATTGAACCGCTTTGATCGTTCACTTTGTTGAGTTTTTCTCATTCCAACAATTGCAGTAGCTTGGCAGATTTTTGAGAGTTGCTTTCTGCTTGCCTTTCCAATGGAGTCCTTACGAGTCGAATGAAATCCTTGCTTGACACTTGCCTCCTGAAATTATTGAAAGTTCCACAACTGCTGCATTCAAAACATCTTTAAAAGTTAAACAAGATAAATAT